TCATTAAAGTCCGGACGGAGGGGTTGGTCCGCTCTGACTGTAACGGGGAGGGGGAGGGACGGCTGTACTGCACGTGAGCCACCTGTGCGTGCTTTGGGAGGGAGGACGGGGGCTTAAAAGTGCTGCTCATTGAGAAAGTGAGAGCGATACACTGGAAACGCTATGGTACCCCCCCCACGGTCAACCGGACCGTCCGCACCACTCCCCCCTCAGAAAATGTGTGGCTTGTCATTAAGTTGGGATGGTGGGTACTGCACCCAAACCAGTTAACAACCCCTCCTTTGGCGGACCTTTGACCTCTGAGTATGTAGAGGGTTTAGAAGGGGGCGGGGCTCCCTCTCACTTAGACCATACAATTTATGTAACATAGTTCAAGAGGTGATCCGGTCGGTTTCCTAACCGTGCAACTGATAAGTTTCCAACACACTGGAGGCACTGTGCTGTGTGCGACTCACCCGACTGCTCCTTCTTGAAAATGCAGCTTCACAAAGCTTGTGTTGGAGCTGCTGCATCCACATTGCTATGTTTACGTTTTGAAAATGTTTTTTTTGCTACTTTTTAAGCCACACACATAAACAGAACAAAAGCTTAATCCAGACGCGGATCTCAGCCACCAGCAACAAATGGCTTGATGGCTCACCCTACAGTGAGAAGACCTCACTATAACGGACATTCTGACAGAAACCAGAAACCTCTTGACACATGGTTGAGTTGATGGTCCACTTTCATCTTCTCCTGACTTGTGAGCTGGCCACAACTACATTGAAGAAGACTTCTTCAAAATGCAGCCGTATCTTTTATCTCCTACATCTCAAACACAGTCATCTACTACTAAACTTCAGAAAGATTTGATTTCTCAACTTCATGCTGTACGTTGTTCACCTTTCTTTCTGTTCACCTCTTCAGTAGCGTCTGGTGCTCTGAGGCAAATGGCTTTCCTGTTTACACTCCACACATAAACACAGACATCACACTACGGGGCTTCCACCGTCCTACTGCCTTTAGCCGTACAAATTGGTGGTCGTCTCTTCTTTTTCTCCCTTCTCATTCCAGTGAATAAGAATATACCAAAAAGTTGATTTCATGATATAAATGTAGTCTTCGCAGCGGCAAGACTGGCGCAGTCACAATACAAACAGCGGTGATTATTTAGACATTAAGCTGAACACCAAGTAAACAGGCAGACTTATATGCATTAAACACACAACTTGTGTTAAACAAGTATGCGCGCATAGAGCTTGTTCCATTGGAATGTCTGGTATTGCGCTAATTATTCCCAGATCCAGGAATATAATGAGTACCAGACCAAACACACCTGCATGCTTCCTGTTAGTCATTTCTCCCTGTGTTATCACCTCACAAATAAAGGAACAAGTTAAAAACGCTCCTAAGCATTACCGTACTCTGCAGGTGATCATTGTGGCCAGGAATTGTAGTTATCGGGAAATATTTTTTTCTTCCGATTTATAATGTTTTCATTTTAGCATGAATAAAATAAAATGGAGCATAGCACTCTGGAAGTTAACAATAACTGGGCTATTGAGTGGTACTGGTCCACCTGTGGCTTATTTGTTTATTATATTGGCTACATTTTGCCTGCTTAGTCTCACCATGGCATCGGTGTTTAGTGATATGGAAAAAAATGATTGCCTGAGCATACTGATGTTTGTTGGCAGCAAGCTGGTGTGCAATAAGGTCATAGAAAGGGTTTATATCAGGTGGCAACTTACACTTTCTGTCAAGCTAAGCTCGTCAGGAAGAATGGAAGATTTTCTCTATTGACCAGAAGGGGCCGACTCCTCGGATTGCATCGAAACTTTTATTGGAGTACATGTTGTCTGCGACAAATCGTCTTCCAAGCATTGCAGCTGATGGAAAACGCACAATAAACAACGTTTCTTGCTGTTTTTTGCTTCCCCACTGATTAAGCGTTGATAGACGAAACCCATGAGGTAACAAGCTATGTTAGCTAACTAGTCAGCAAGCCAGTGTAGCTGACGTGTATTCTGCAGTTCCTTATACCCCGTTTCCCAGTCTTCCGTCTCATGCTCATTCACATGAATGACAGCACAAAAATAACATTGGATATGGCATTTTGCAACTTTTAGGGAGTAGTGACTAAATACAGGCTTGTTTAGAGTTAAGGATGTCTCTTTTCTGATGCAAGTCTAGGTTTAAAAGTATTTTAATCATATTACAGACACAAAAGTTGTAAATCACAAAAAAAAAAATTGGCTTCAAAGTCCGGAGCTCATGCATTGGTCTGAGGTGGCAAGGCAAGTATTTTTGCTGCATATTTTCTTTTCAATATAAATTGTGTCAACGTCTTTGTGGTAGGGCTGTGACATCAACACGTTAATCTATGCGATTAATGTGGCAGAGATTATTGCGACAAAATAGTTTAACACGTTTGTTTACTTCCTATATGCTGGAAGTACGGGGGGTTAGACCGAGGAGACTATGACAAAAATAATATTTCTTTAACATTAAAGCATGTAAACACAATGTAGTAAAAAGACCAAATAAAAGAGTGAATATAAAAATGTTATTCATTTATTTATAAATATATTAATTCAAAGTTTAGTTTGCAGCAAAATAAATAAATCTGTCAACCTCATCTATAAAGCCTGATTGCAATTCTCCAATCTTTCTTTGAAATAAAGAGGGGTTCTGAGTGTAGCAGATTGAAGGGTCTTCTACATGTGTTTGAAGAGTATATTCTGGATCTCAATCCTAAATATACTGTTTTAACACCATTAAGAGGAAGATCGAAGATAAAGCTACAGCGTACAAAAATGAAAAGAATGAACAGATTCCTAACCTTGCTCCCCGATATTTCCTGATCAAAATCCTGCCAGTTATAGACGTTTTATGTTGCTATCTTCTTATACAACTGTTGGTTTGACAACATTTAATACTTTGTTACTTTGCTAAAAAATCATGATCAAAGATAATTCACCTTCAATTTGGATGGCTACAGAGTAAATGTCAATGACTGTACACTTCCTGAAAATTGTGTATACATGAAAAACAAAGCTTACAATTAATGTCAAGATATTGATGAAATGAATGACATTCTATGGTCGTCAGGGGAAACGACTTGGAGAGTTCCTTTGCGTCTTAACTTTTGGGTCACCCTCAGAAAGGATTTTTCCAAAGTTATTCTGCATTTTCACAAGCCAATATTTTTTGATGAGGAATCATGTTTCATTTGACTTAAGATGACTTCCTTGAAGAGCTGGAATTACAATGTTTTTTGTCCCCGTTGTTGCACTTGACACAGCAGCAGAAACTAAGCTGAAACTCAGGTTTTACCCAACGCAGAAAACCACATAGAAGCTTAACAAGATATCAGACTGGTAATGTTAAAGCACCATTTCAAGCACCAGAAGAATTCCATGACATTTTACGTTTAGCTGACGCTCAAGAAACCCAAACTACAGAGTGCCATCATGATGTCATTGGGGAGCTTGTTCCAAGTCTATCTTTTCATTAATGACTGTATACACGTTAAAAAACTATGCCTTTTCCACTATTCCCAGATTACTATTAAATGTAATCACAGGTACACCTTAACAATCCCCACCCCCTCCTCCTCATTGCAAAGCAAGGCCCTCTGGCCCCATTTCCAACACCAGCAGCTCTAACCCGAACATGGTGAGAACATGGCTGCCAGGGCCAATTAGTAATATGCGTCCACTTTATTCATAACTGCTGCTGTGACTACACTATGAAAACTATGATTTTGCTGTTGTGGATGGCTTAACTCAAGACGGTTTACATCTTCATTTTCCATAGTTCAATGAATGGAAGCCAATGGCTGCTCTAAAAAGACCGGAAAACCACATTTAAAACATCAAACCAAAGCCAGGTCCTTCAAAAAGGACCAGGTTGCCATTAACAACTGAGCCAAGGAGTTGTTTTTATGGTTTTTAGCTCTAAACACAGAGGAGTTTGAGACGGAGAACCGTTGACCACACAACATATGGGTCATTTCCCATGTGGGAGTCTTTACAATGTCACGTGTGGTAACTCCTCATAACATTTCTGGTATTTTCTATGTGAAATGTATCTTTGGGAATTAAGTATTTAATGTCACACGTGTGGAATGAAAAAATAGTGAGAGATGGGCTGGATGGTGGGATACAAACAATGGACACATTAACTAATGTGTGAATATTAAATAAGTTACCATATTGGGGAAAAAGGTGGATTGTTTCGACCGGCTCTATAAAGCTCAGAAATCCATCCAGCCTGCAGTCATTAAAGGGGGGGTGTAAGGAGCTAATCATTTAGCGACCCCCCTTCACTCCATACCAAATGGTGAGTCCTCAAAGCCAGAGCTGAAAACAGGAAATCTGCACGACCCCCCCTCCTCCACACACACACACACACACACACACACACACACACACACACACACACACAATTAGCATGACTGACAAAGGCACGAGAATCCTCCGCGAGCTCTGCGTTAATTAACATGACAACGACACCGTGGCCCGTTCAGCGTTTTCTCTCCGAGACTCGGGGCCGAGAGGGACACATGTCAACAAGCTAAAGGAGGACAAAGGGTCTTTAAGTGATCACATAAACGACCCCCCCTGCCCCCCACCCACTCACCCACACACACACACCTGAAAAACTACCACAAACGTCTGCAATGTTATCGTGAAATGTCCCTCTCGGGGCAAACGAAACCTAAACTAACGTTACGACTCTCGCTGGAGGCCAACAAAGTTCTGGAAAGTTCACCATGGGAATTGCGGGGATTCCATCCGTGTGAAGGGAGCCCTCGTGGGGGTGAGGGGAAGGAAAGTCAACTATTTTATTTTCTGCTCATGAGACGGGACATGTCCACGCGGGACCAAGAGTCCGGGAGCTTCACTGGAACTACGAGGAGAAAAGGAGAGCGCGAGCGGCTCCTTGTAAGGAGCGCCGGCTCCTCCGCGCGCACGCCAAGGATGCGGATAGAAGGGAAGCCGCGGAGAAGCACTTACTTTCACATCTGCCATTAGGAAACCAGAGAAGCATCCAGATCAAACTCCTCGGGAAGGAGTTCATGGCGCCGGCAGGATTACTGCATCCACGTCTGCTTTTACTTCTGGGCCCTTTTCTTGTCTTTTCTTTCCGAATCAGCTGCCGCGCGAGGAAGAAACGCGCACCGCTTTAGGTCGCGGATGAGTCGGACATGGAGGCGCTGCAGAGATGCGCGTTCAGGGAGGCGAGGCGATCCCAACCACGTCCGCCGCCGCCGCCCCCTTGCGCGGGCACGTGCGTGGTCCAGTGAAACGCTTGGAGGGCGACAGGGCCCCGTCCCCAGGGGTCTGTCCCCCAGCCGCCCATCCCACCAGCACACAGCCGCGCGCAACTTAGTCACTTTAAAGCTCAGACAACCTCGTTATAGATTTATTGATACACATGTCCCCAACATGCAATGCGGTATATATGCGAATGCACCAGCACTTATGATCAAATAAACACACTGATTGTGTTTGATTTTTTCCAGTGCTCCTTTTTCCTCTTGTGAGTTCAACAAGCAGAATAGTTCATTAGCTCTTTGTTCTTCAGAACGGAACATGTTACTTCCCTGTAAAGTCACCTGGAAAGGAGGTCTTGGTTTTGTTTTTCACCTTCCAATGAGCCAGGGATGGCTGTATGGAGACAGGGAGGGGTCCTCGCCATGTCCATACTGTCCTATAAATATACAGGTAACAAAACAACTAAACTTGAAAATGACAAAATAGTGTTCAGCGTGTTTAACTGTATTTGTGGGCAGACAACAGTATTTCCTTCTTTTAACAGGGTGGAAAAGTACATATCTAATGTTGGATAGCTGACCTTTCCTCATACTGGCGTTGTCCCACAGCCGTGGAATGCAAATTCTCAAAACTGTGCTGTTGACTAAATTAATCAGCCTATGGATACTTTATATTTAATGGGGCACTGTAGACAATTGACACATTAGGTAACGGAGAATATTCCTGCTCTATTCCTGCGGTAAAAGACTTTTTCCCCCAAAACTTATGATAATTCCACCGACTTATTCAGGCACACAAAACACCATCATACACCAGAACCTAATTTAAATCTGATATATTTACATTTTATACACGTAAAGTAGTCAGAATGCAATAACCTCTAACAAAAGAGAAGTAACATTGACCAAAAATCAAAAGATAAGTAAACAAAATCAGGTTTAAAATTCAGTGTGTATTTGTGGTAAAACAAGCAGTGGCATAGAAAATCACCATCATCTGGTCCAGTTTATGTACTAGTCGACTGTAAACATGTTAAATAAAACAAGATAAATGATCAGTACAGAAAAGGCAACAAGTCATTTGGTTTGTCTAATTCTCACTACAGGTGTGTCTTCCACAGCAGTAAACAATCCTGGTGGAGGTACACTTTTACAATCATAACAATACACAACTAGTGGCACATGCTGTATGATTATGACACAGGAAGCATGAGAACCAGCAGAGACGAATAATTAAGAAAAAAACAGAATCAACAAACAGAAGCGATGTTAGCAGGCATACGGTGTATTTTTTGGGGCTGAGAGCCTCTAGCGACACCTTCAGTTTGCTGGGCTCAGTCTGTGGTCGGGGGTGTCTGCCCCCCCCCACAGTGGTGTCCTACTTACTCCACTCAGTGGACCCCTGCTAAAGCTCCAGTGACGTCTACTTAAAGTACCATCTGTGGCAAACACTCGATTGTCATATGAGGAGAGCTGCAGCCGCCTCACGGATACAAGACACGGCCTTCTGGACATCCTCCTCGGTCTGTTGGATGGTGACCACCACCCTGATGCTGAGGACATACGGATGGAGCAGTCAGACGGTGTTTGGGCTCACAGATCCAGTTCAACATTTGCATAGGAACAAACCTCAATGGACTTTACCCGGTTGAATATCAGAACACTTTGCTCTCATATTTTCCATTCTATTATTTTACTGAAGAATTACCACCTACTACCTCTTCCTTTGCGATACAAATCGAATAATAATGAAAAAAAATAGTTGTAAGAGCAAAACATATGCAAGAAGGTCCTCGGCACATTGTAGACTGTAATATGTCGTGTCAATTGCCCAATAAAGTAGAAGCGTTACCTTGGTGAGGGGAGGAAACGCTCCTCTTTCTCCAGGTAGCGAGCGAGGGTCAGGGCCACGCGTCTCTCCAGACACTGACAGGAAACAATATGGAGACACTAAATAATAATGTCTTTTTTAAATTCCCTCTGAATTACATGTCACGGATAGTTGTGGGACAACTTTAAAGTATGGTACAAATCACATTTAATCTGTAATTCAAAGCTACAGCTTGAACACCACTAATGAAGTTCGATATTCCTTTAACTTGCCATTTGAGTCTATAAATTCTGAAGACGTGCAAAGTTAGTTTTTCCTGTGCCGATGAGGGCCGTGGCACACAGAATGTCGTATGGGTACAAATTGTAAAGCCCTCGGAAACTTATTTTTTATTTTGCCAAATATAAAATTAATTAAATTGAACAAAAGTAGACTTACATAATCTACAATGGTGCGCAGCAGCTGCATGTCAGAGTCTCTGGAGCCGGAGCTTCTCTCCAGCTGGAGGTGAAGAGCAGGGGAAAACTGCACTCCGACTAACTTCAGACCTGGAATTCTGTCACACATCAGGAAGCACATCAATTATGATAAGAGGCCATAACTAGCATCTATCCAGCAGGACTAGTTTTGAAGACCATTTCATGGTGAATTCCAGTGTGTCCATGTCCCTGCTACCTCTGAGGCCTCATGTACTCAGCGCTTTTGCGCCCGCTTCAGGCGTATTTGTTTCGCAATGTGCACGTAAAAGCATGGCGAGGTATGTACAAACATGCCGGACTGAGGTGAAACCACAGACTGCCTGTTGTAGGAACTGAAAATGACCATTTTTTTCCATGTCATGCATATGCATTCACGGAGGGTCAGCGGGAAAGTGGGAGTTTCCCATAAAGAGATGGGAGGGGTGCGTAAAATGAGCCTAATTACGTATTACGTGGTATGTACAGTGAAGGCGCCTCCGTTTTTCTGTGAAAATTCTCCGCCTCTTGAAAGCAGATGTAAACCAGAATGTGGATTTCCTCGTATATGCCCCTTGGTGAAATAGCAGCAGTAATTCGAGCAAGACGGCGACATCGGCCATGGAGACGAGCTGAAAGGATTTTTGCCACAAGAATCACACTTTTTCAGTTGAATGAACACAAAATCATTACGTGTTACAGATTCGTAGTCACTGAATTTTCTTGTTTCCGTTTGGACTTGCGGCTGATAAAAATGAATGAAAGAGATAAGGCGGTCCTTCAATTTCACGTTTAAATGCTCACCATGTGCGGTATAGAGGGCGGAGAAAGGCGCTGATTATCCAATCAAGTGCAGGTGTGTAAACAGGAAGTGAACTGAAGTATCACAGCATGTGTTTTCTGCAGGGCGGCCATGATAACGTTACGTTTGCAAATGTACGTACATCAGGACCTGAGTATTTACCAACCCTCCATGGCATCCTATGTCCTACAAAGGAAGCTTCATTCTCAAGTTTGGAGACAAAAGTAGTTCCTTGTTGCAATATAGATGCTTAGACTTAAAACACATCATGGTTTCATTTACAATAAGTATGTTTGTCTAATTATTGAAGTTACAAGAGTAGGATAGAATAAGTAAGGCAAAGTGAAGCCTCAGGGCAGCTACATTTGTGACCACGATTCCTGCTGAAGTGCAGTGGCATTTTATCCTCTCATACTTTGCTCTTCTTTCTACCTTTTCAGTCCAGGTACTGGCACATGGATTAGGGCAGCGGTTCTCAAGAACTCAAGAATGCCGCGGCCCACTTTGAAATCTGAAAATCTTTCGCGGCCCACCCAAACCGTTAATCACAACTCTGATCAAAACATAATGATTAAATGACCTCAAGAATTTAACCAAAATCAAACATCCGCGAGCAAAAGTCCGTCTCCGCGAGGTATTTGCTCGCTTGCAAAACGTGAACTTCGTTGCTCGCGAGGAGAATCTCTGCTCGCACTCGAAGGAGTTTTTGACAGTAGGGTGGAGACGGTGCTTTCAGGGTCCGATCGATGCCGCGAGTTGCGTCCGCTTCCGCCGCCCCCCTCGCCATCCACGCCTTAAATCTTCGGCTGCTTTTAGAATAACTTATTTTCCCCGTTAAGATGGTTCAGCTACTGTAGAGAAAAGGGCGCCGTCGCTCGCTCTTTAATCTTATGTGCTCGGCAAGAACGACAGCTTTGTTTCTCCGACGTGCCCTGAAACAAGCTCCATATATCACGCGCTTGAGCGCCGCTCAGCATCTCGCCGTCATAGACGAGCTTTGGCATGTTTGGCAGAGCGCCTTGAGCGCCGTGTACAACCAGTATGGATCAACCGATTAACCGATTGATCCATATATATAAGGCGCTCCGGATTATAAGGCACTGTCGTTTTTTGAGAAAATTAAAGCCTTTTAAGTGCGCCTTGGAGTGCGGAAAATGCGGTATATTTACTAGGGCGCCCCGTTTGTTGAACGACAGGCGGACAAGAGCAGCCGTTTCGAGCGAGAGCCTTATTGTTTTATTAATCTGTCCGTTTAAATTGTTTGTGCTTCATCAACTAATGTTTCACATAACTAATGTGCAGCATCATAAATATTTTTATATTAATTTCAAACTTTTAAAAATTGAAAATGAAAAAACTGCAGTAAACTGCAACCCACCTGCAGTACCTTCGCGGCCCACACTTTGGGAATCACTGGATTAGGGGTTAACCTTACGCCACGGTTTAGTTGACAAGCTACAGGGTTCAACCTGTGTAAAGAGACTTAAAGCCTAGTTTATGCTTCTGATACATAAATAAAAAAATAAATAGATGTGACTCTCTAGGTCGTCTTCAACAAAAACACGTTACTCCACCTATTGTTCTGGCGGTGAATTGCTCTGCAACACACGCAAGACTTTTGAACCATGAATTGAAACAAGTGCGTCGACACAACGGTGCGTAAAGACGCAGAAGCATGCGCCAGCCTTTATGTGTAACTTCAATAATGTTTTTCCTAGCCAAGTCAAATACAAACACAGATTTGAATGTAAAGAATTAGTACTTATAACAATGACATCCAATACTAAATGGGTCTGTTGTCACAAATACCCAACAGACCAATATCTGATAGAACTGTTGGTATCGGCGCATTTCAGCAGCTCGAATGGACTTTTCAGACCAATTCACACATAAATAGAAGTGTTAACTCAACCCAGAGTGAGGGACTCTTTTCAACCAAGTACATGTGAACTTACCCTTGTAAAGCATTGTAAATGTGTTGGCTCTTGTCTCTGAGAATGGTGAAGATGTCTGCAAAACAGACCAAGCCAGAGGTAAGTAGACATAATTGCTTCTTATTCACATGTATTTATGATAAGTTGTAAATGGAAAGCTTGTCTAAAATACAGAGCACTCTATGGAAAAAAATCTAGAAATAAATAAAACTGTATGCACAAATGAAAAAAGGTGCAGAGAGGACGCAGCATTTGAAGGCAGACTATGTACCTGGATCCTCCTCCATGATGTTGAGAGCCTCGATGGCAGCAGCAGCCAGCATGGGAGGCAGGGAGGCAGAGAAACAGTAGCCCTGGCCCGACAGACGCTGCCCATCGAGAGAGAAGACACAGACTTTTTACTGAATCATATCCAGGTAAATAGCAATACCTACAAATGGACCTAAAGACAAAGAAGACAATAGGATATAACGGAGTGTTTGATTTCATCCTGTTGACGTCAACATTTGGCAGAAGCAATTCACACAGCGGGCGGCACGGTGGCGTGGTGGTCAGCACCGTCTCCTCACAGCAAGAAAGTCCTGGGTTCAACTCCGCCCAGTGGCCTTTCTGTGTGGAGTCTGCATGTTCTCCCCGTGTCTGTGTGGGTTCTCTCCGGGTTCTCCGGCTTCCTCCCACAGTCCCAAGACGTGCTCTGGGTTCAGGTCGATTGGGGACTTGCCCGTAGGTGTGTGAATGTGAGTGTGAATGGTTGTTTGTCTCTGTATAGCCCTGTGATTGGCTGGCGACCAGTCCAAGGTGTACCCCGTCTATCGTCCCAAAGGTGGCTGGGATGGACTCCAGGCCCCCCCGCGACCCTGTGTGCAGGATAAGCGGTTTGCCGATGATTGGATGGATGGATGAATTCGCACAGCACCCAAGAGTTCAGAGGGTATACTTATTTCTGCTCAAATTCCGCATTCTGAGGTCTGGACTGGCTAGCTCGGGCTTTACAAGTGGAGTTGTTGTCCGCTGGAAACTGTTCATACCTCATTCAATACTTCTTAAAAGACCTTAGTTTAATAATATACCGTATTGAAAAGCAATAGACCAAAGTTCTAGGCGCCATCCAGGGACCATACGAGAGACCCACACATGCACCGTTGTATGATTACAAATGTACAGTTTTAGAATACCAATAAACTAAAAGAGGGTTTTCTCCTTCCTCCATCTGAACTGTAAGCTGGCTCGTGAAAAAGTGGGATTTATTCAACTTAAATAGACAGAGGCTAGGAAGATTTTACCTGGTGGTCGATCACAAAGGAACGTCCACAGCAGAAGCCTCCGATGGAGGCCACAGCGTTCTCCATGTTGGCGCTGATTAGGTCAATGTCATCGATCTGCATGTTAAGGAAATAGCAACGTGTTATTATTACCCACAATGGGCACATACATATATACAACATGGAAATATCCCATGACATGTTTTAAAACATTTTTTTTTTATTTATTTTTTTTAACTTTTACAATTGTCCACTCCCAGTTGCGTATGGGTCAGAAATCAGAAATAAAATAACTCACCAACACACCTTTCACTGTGCTGGTACAAAGCATGTGGTAATGTAAAGGTGAGTGAACTCACGTTGACCCCAAAGTGTTCCGTGACTCCTCGGCCATGTTCTCCCAACACACCAAAAGACATGCTCTCCTCCAGGAAGATCCGCACCTTGTACTTGTACTTCATCTTCACCTGCGGATTTCCAACACTCGATGAGAAATAGAGCGGAGACATGTAGGAATTAGGAATGCCACAATACCAAAATTATGAGTCAAGGAGTCTACACGCGCAGTTGTGTCGACGCACTCGTTTCAATTCATGGTTCAGAAAGGCTTGTTTATTTATAATAGACTTTATTGCCCCGTGCATCGCCACTTCTGCTTTTCATCACGGACACATTTGTCCCGTATTTTGCTCCACAACTTTGTTCCCCTCGACCGGCAAACCGACGTTTGTGGAGATCTCCCTCCATGAATCAGAGGCCATCCGCGCATCCTTATAGTCCGCCAATGACGGGTTGTATAAGCGGCCATATTTACGCATTTCTTCAGACAAAAGCTCCTTGTGTCTCTCTGAAAACTCAGCATAAACTAGGCTTTAGATACATACCTGCCATAAATATCATAATACCCAATGCGATACAATAAAATATGATACCACAAATAGAATATGATACTGGTATATTCATCTAGAATAATAGGTTCCCTTTCTTACTAACTGGTTTCTGCCCAGCTTTTTGAATACTTAACAAACGGCAGTAATATTAGTATTAACCTACAGCAAGATATTAATGAAAATGACAGTGCCATCATAACATAGATTATACACGGCTATGTAATGTAGGCAAAGTATTTCCACATTTCAATTCTGGCATCTTCGGCCAGAGCTCGTGCACGTGAGGTCATATCTCCTCTGTGACCCCTCTGTGTGACTACCGTCACTACCGTAAAAATATGCAAAACATATTGTTTTTAACGTATACTGCAGTGCCCTTTTAGTGTATATATAGTAGAGTGTAATGTAGCAGCCGTTCAGGCATCGACACTGTGCTATCTCCAGTTGGTTTCTTCATCTTGTGTCTTGACCGCTCATTGTTAAAAGGGTTACTTTTAGACCTCCGTCAAGCATACTTATGGTCTCCCTACCTACATGTACCACCCGCCCGCCTGCTTCTGTATGCTAACTTTGGCCACGTTTGTTTGTTAGGGTTCATTATGAAACTACAGTCTAGAAGATCACATTTGAAAATGTCTGAGAAGAGATGGAACTCATCATGCAGGTTCATTTAGCATCGATAACCGGTAGCTGTGTCTTGTCTGAACACATGCAGGTCACGGAGGTTACTCTGAGCAGTACGTATGTGGAAGAATTCAAATGGTCTGATTAAGTTGTTCCAAATCTTTTTCAGACATTTGGCTTATTTCTACACTCGCGTCACCAACCATAATGTTATATGTCCGTCTCTGTGGCTGTGAGGTAACCGTGCAGACATAAAACTATCGTGAACATAAAACGATCACGAAATGTTTAAATGTCCAAATCAGCTAATGGTTTGTCATCTGTCACGGTCAATCAGCTGAAAAAATCCACAGCTGAGCGATTGGTGCGGCTGTACTTTTGAGTAGGATCATTTTTTAAATTTAGTATTCTGTTGCTGGTTTCTCCAAAGTGGCAGACCTCTGCTTTGGATGTTCAGACCCTATTTACTTTTTACGGAATCTTAAAACCTTTAGAGCTACACTCTTTTTCGACTTTCGACTAGCCTTGTCCAGTAATGGCGTTTTTACACAAATTAAGTTTCTAAAAGATCAATTTACTATAGAAACAAGGGGGCCCTCAGTTACTTCATGCACAATTGCACTGATGCAAGCAGTGGAAATACAGTGGATAAACAGCGTTTTTAAATGTGTAATAGAAAAGTCAAAAGACATGCTCTGGGGATCAGGTTAATTGGGGATTTGAAATTGCCCGTAGGTGTGTGAATGGTTGTATGTCGCTGTGTAGCCCTGCGATTGGCTGGCGACCAATCTAGGGTGTACCCTGTCTCTCGCCCGAAGTTGTCTGGGACAGACTCCAGCCCCCCCCCGCGACCCTGTGTGCAGGATAAGCGGTTTGACGATGGATGGAATAGAAAAGTAGAATATCCACAGATTTCGTTAAAAAATAACAATTTCTTTCATTTTACTTTTTTTTTTTAATAATAAAAAATATTTTTTTTGTGAAAAATAATTAGATTAATTCTTAATTACACCTGCCACACCTTCAAGACCGGTCTGCGCAATATTTTCTAATGTAAAATTGTTCTTTGAGGCAAAAAAGGTTGGGGACCTCTGCTGCAAGGGATTATTTCATGTATGCATGTGCCTTGTGATGGTCACTGATCATTGTCCCCCCATCACAATGTACAATTTAGGAATCCATGGGATTAGTTTTATTTTGGAGGACAATAAGCAGCCTTTCTATTTACCAGTTCAGGCAAAGGACAGATGTCCGCAGTGTTGATGTACAGACCCTCCACAAGAATAAACTTCCGGGTCACTCTGGCTTTACGAGGATTCTGCCACAGAAAGAAACTATGTTATTTTATAAGACATGAATACAAATTGGAAACAGGATTAGCAGAATACGTGTTGCAGCTCAAACACAATGGGCTACATTTGCAAGCATACAAACACAAAGGGAAATTTCAAGGCCTAAAGCCCCTGAACTAACCTTCTGGTCCTCCAGCTCCTGCTCGTTGAGCAGCCTCTCTAGATCCTCCATGTTGTTGTGTTTGAAGTATTTGATGAAGCTGCGGGACGCTTGAAGACCCTTCTGGATGGAGAAGCAGGCCGCTTCGTCCCTGAACATACAACAAGCCATGTTTACATATGACCCAATCAGCGTTTCCCTACCATTCAATGGGGGGGGGGGGCACCCCATTATACGCATACGCACACGCAGCACTTACACAAAGATGATGTCCCCCCTCTTGGAGTAGGCAGGGATGGCACTGGCAATGGTCGCAAAGCCGTAAGAATAGATAATGGCTTCTTCTGTTTTCATGAATTTGGCCAGACGACTCTCCAGCTCCAGGTGAACATCTGGAGAACAGAAATAAGACAGTTCAAACTAACCAATACTCCTGCGCTGACCTTCACACACATTTTGCCTACTGAAAGTCAGAAATCCTGAATACATCCTTCAGAAGCACAATGTTGATTGTGCCGTCTGCATCTCGCAGATGCTAACGTGCTAATTTTAATTGAGAGTGCGGACTTCATGCTCGGACTGCTGCATGGAGCCGGTGTTACCGCTTACAGACCCGGGTAACTGGAGACCTCCAGCACAAAGCTTTCGCAAACAGGAAGAGGACACGTAGCTGTCCTGAATGCCGCTTTGTTTATACGTTTCAGTTCAGCGACAAGCCTTCTCATTCATACATACGTACGTGTTCAAACAGGAGGGGAGCAAGTTGCCCTTTTGAAATAAAACGCAACATCGTCTTTGGAACCCGTTTTGTGTTAAAATGTGTGAAAGAATAACTTTGATTGAACTCACATTGGTCGTAAAACAGTGGCCAGGAGCAGTAGCTCTACGCCACAGTAGCTTTGTTCTTTTTCTTTGTGACACATGTTAACACAAAACGGGTTCCGAAGACGATTTAGGTTTTGTTTTTATATAAACTTTATTTTAAAAGAGCAACTTGCTCCCTTCCTGTTTCAACAGATCAACACCAAGCGACGTTTGGAACTCGGCTGGACTCCTCAAAGGAATCTCCCACGTGGAAACCAATGTTTTAACCATACAGTATCAGTCAATGGTTTGGACACTTTCTCATGCAAAGGTTTTTCTTAATTTTCATTTATTTTCTACACTGTAGATTAATATTGAAGGGATCAAAAAATGCTCAACAAACCAGAATGTTTTATATTTTAGATTCTTCACTGAAGTCACCTTTGACTGAGGACCGCCCAGGGAAGGAAGGCTGCCCAGGTACTGATTCAGGCTCTTGTCATCTCCGGCCTGGACTACTGCAACTCCCTCCTGCAGGTCTCAGGCCTGCTACCGCCATTCCACCTCTGCAGCTCATCCAGAATACAGCAGCTACACTGGTCTTTAAACTTTCTGAAATCCTCCCACACTACTCCACTCCTCCGCTCTCTTCACTGGCTACCGGTGGCTGCCCGCATCCAGTTCAAAACATTGGTGCTCACTAGGGGTGTAACGATTCATTCACTGAATCGATGAATCGATTTATATTCCTGCGATCCAACTGAATCAATGTGTGCTCCGCAAATCGGCATTCCGGACGACATATATCGATTACAAATCGATTGAAATGATACATAATCAATTGTATCGATACTTGGAAACTGCACATTGGATTTAAGTACAAAAACGGCATGGATCCGTGTTTGTTTGTTTGTTTTTTAGCACTTTAGACACGTTAAACGTTACTCGATTCAGTCTGCCTGTCTTTGACGTCATCAGTACGCAGCGGCAGCCGTGCAAAACTCGGAACAACAACAACAACACACAGCGTGGAGGAGACAACTGCGAGCAAGACATTTACAAACCAACTTATCGATCCAGTGTGTGGAAACAGTTTGGCTTTTGCAAACACGGAGGTGTTCTAAATAAGTCGGTCGCTGTTTGTAGAATACGTAGAAGCCAAATAAAAAAAACACGGAAACACGACGAATATTTCCGGCCATCTACTAAGGCGCCATGGGATTAAACAACGCCGACAGTCAGGCACCTCTAGCAGCGTTACCGCTGCTGCAGCAGCAGAAGGTAACTCCAGCTCTGCAGACACCTCAGGCCTCGCCAGCACCAAACTCAGCATCACAGTAACAATTGCCAAGTTTATCTGTAAAGACATGCGACCGACAATGAGGTTGAAAATCCGGGGTTCTGTGAATTGATCCAAACATTGTGTAATTATTGTGCAATGTTTACATGGAAAATGGCAGTTTATTCAAATAAAAGGTTAATACATTTGCCATTAATTGTTGTTTGCTTGTTTATATTTATCCATAACTAATTTAAACCTTATTTCCTTACAAGAAACAACAGGGATCTCAGAAACTTTGCCTGCACTGTCCAGTAAAGTTACTGAATCGATTTCAAGTCACTGAATCAAATCGAATCGTTCAAAATTAACCCAGATCGTGATTCGAATCAAAGTTAAAATGAATCGTTACACCCCTAGTGCTTACGTACCATGCTGTGAATGGATCAGGTCCAGCTTACATCCAGGACATGGGCAAACCTTACATCCCGACCCGCACTCTCCGCTCTGCATCTGTAAAACTGCTCGTCCCTCCCTCACTGAGAGCAAAACACTCCACTAGATCACGACTCTTTGCTGTCCTGCTCCTAAATGGTGGAACGAGCTCTCTGAAGACATCAGGACCGCAGAGAGCCTTCACATCATCCGCCGCAAACTAAAGACCCACCTCTTCAGACTCTACCTCCACTACAGACTAACAAATGGTAGCACATAAATTGTACTTATAATGCCTCTTATCTATAGCAAATTGTAAATTGGCTCATTTGATGAAACTTTGTTCTTCTGAGTTTGTATCTATGGTTGAATGCACTTATTGTAAGTTGCTTTGGATAAAAGCGTCAGCTAAATGACATGTAATGTAAAAAGGAAGACCAAGAGATACCTCTTCTGCCGAGGAGAGGTTCATTAGAGTTACCAGCTTCAGAAACCTCAGATTAGAGCGCCCATAAATACTACTCAGTGTGCTACTAGTCAGAGTTCAAGTAGCAGACACATTTCAACATCACCCGTTCAGAGGAGATCGTGTGAATCAGACCTTGATGGTCGAATCGCTGCAAAAAAGCACCACTAAGGAAGAACAAGAGGCAGAGACTTGCTTCCGCCAAGAAACACAACATGGTGTTGACACTGTTGGTTATTTATTTATTTAATGTAATTCTTAACCAGCATTCTGCAGCGACATGCCTGGTTTGAGCTTAGTGGGACCAGCATTTGTATTTCAACAGGACAATGACGCCAAACACACTTCCAGGCTCTGTGAGAACTATTTGACCATGAAGGTGAGTGATGAGCGCTGCGTCACATGACCTGGCCTCCGCCATCACCCCACCTAAACCCCATTGAGATGGCCTGTTGTTTTAACGACGTCAACAGACACGTCCTGCTGAAAGTCGCCAGTTAACAGGGTCGCCTGATAAGCTGTGACACCGGGCTGAGCTTACTGTCAACTGGGTTAATTTGCAAGAAACCTGTAAAGGATATTTTTCGGACGCATGTTTCACTCACCAAAGGTTCCATAGAAGCCCCTGGGACCACATGTGCCAACGCCATATTTCTTCAGTGATGCCAAAGCTTTTTGCTGTAATGAGGATAAAAATGTAAACTTATATGACACTGCAGTCACACAGTGGAGCTCAATAGCAGCCTAGTGAAATAAAGGTAAGTAATGCCTTAAGTAATGACTACTGACCTTAACCCGCTCATTGTCCAGGAGACCCAAGAAGTTAAATGAAGCAAAGTTGATGCACTCTTTTCCATTGATTGTGATTTTGTGGCTTGGAGGTCTGTAATGGAAAACAGCATTTAGCTTCCTGTAGCACACAGCAGCAGTGTGTGGAGTTCAGAGCAACACCATCACCGAGGTCTTTACTTCAACTAAAGTAAACAAGCTCATTACATCGAGGCCTAATATTACTGTAAAATTGTCCATTTGAATGACAACCATCTAGATAAATATGGAGTCCTTGGCTTCAGACATTGGAAAGCTCTGACCTGAGCGTCTCACCCTGTGACAACATCATAACTGAGGGACGGATGGTCTTTAGAAACGGGAGGAACAAGCGGCTCCGGCTGCCACTCCTCAATGAGGTCCTCCTTCTCCTGCAACACATGACAGCGGTTTGGTGACTGACATACTCTTGCATGCGCGTGCGACACACACACACACAGCTTACCTTCTCTGTGAGTTTATAAGTCTCATGAAGTTTGTAGGTCTTAGAGAACAGAAGTCTGATGATCCACAGGATTAGGATCCCCTCCAGGATCAGGTGGTAAGCAGGGGCCTGAGACAGGGATTAGGAATATGTTGCTGTCAGGTTGGTGAAAGTGTTATGGTATATATATATATATATATATATATATATATATATATATAAAAACAGTCACGCAAGGCAGTATTCGGCAGGATGTGGGCAATGCGAGGTCGATCAACACACCGCCTGTGCATCACCGTTTCTGTACTACAATACCATTTACTATTACTATGCTGTAAACCAAAAAAAAAACCAAAATTCTTTGCATGAAAGATATACAAGCTAAATTCAAGGTGTTATGTTATGAGGAAGTGGTACGTCCCAATTGAAACGGCAATCAAGTACCGGTAAACCAATAGGATGGATCATGCATGTTCAGCCTGATACAGAAACATTACAGGTAAATGATAAAACACATTAAAACTATATTATACTGATAGTTTATTGGTTATCTGTTTATTGTCATTTTGTAGTTTAAGTAAAAGTAAATACATTATTTGAAATAACTTAGGGTTAGGGGTTGTTCTTTAGAGAACCTTGAATCTCAGCTACTATGACACATGCAGCGAAGTCTATAACAGTTTCCTATAGAATGTGGAGATCTGATGAGGTCAGAAAGTTAGAAGGAAGGTTATCATAGGACAGCGTTCTCTAGTTCATCTTCTAGCATAGTTAAGGAGTTTCTCATGAGACACCGCAATACGGGCTACAGCTACAGAAATACTACTGTACATTTTCTTAAGAATACTTATGTCGACCTTTAAAAACAGAAACACCTTAAAATTGATTTAATACACTTAACGTTATACAAGTAACGTCACATTTCATCACATCATCTCGCCAATCGCCAAGCTCACTAGACGGTACAGACACATTTTCAGACTCAGAATACTACAATTACAACCCGAGCGTTACTATTTTTCTAGGCTTAAACCATACAGTTCGTCAGTTGAGTACACGTTTGATACTTTCGTGGCAAGCTACAGAAGAAGCTAATGCGTTTCAGAGGACAGCCTACTTCCTTGTTCCCTTGTCTCCTCTCGCTCACTGGTCGGTAACGCGTGGCGCGGAAAAAACACGTCACCCAATTGGCTGAGCGGTTATCAAACGCCCTCCCCGAGGCGCGGTACTTCCTGAAGGAGAGGTTTGTCATAAACACCCTCAAAACTAAATTACAATCATCGACGAGTAGCAAAACATACGAGAAATGTACTTGTGAACACCAATGTCCACCCAAAAAAGTTGCACAAAGGAGAAACTTGCCTCATAAAACGCTTGAACCATTTCCACCAACACCCATTGCTGTCCGGACGCCATGTTGATCTCCTCCCAGTGACGTCACCAATGCTGCATTTACGTCCAACACGAAAAATAGAAGACCGCTCCGATGTACCTTTTCTCGTCCGTTCATGAGAGACCATACGAACTCATCTCACACGTAAATACTGCTATACTGAGAGCAAAATAAAATAGTCAGCGATCTCGAGTGTCATCTTCAAGTATTAGAAAAAAACACCGTGCGACCTAAAATTTAAAATAAACTAAATATACGATAAAAAGCATATGGTCAAGTATGCCCTATTTAGACTGAAAAGTATTTTTTATGAGAGTGGGGAAAAAAACGGGAAATTATTAGACAGTTACAGACAGTTACAACATGAAGAGGCTACCTTTGCGGTACCAGCGAGAAAGATGAAAAGAGCAAACTGGTGACAAACACAAAGCAATCGGGTCTTTGCTAGGTTTTATACTGAACTTTATAAATCAGAGGCTGATCCAGAAATAGGAAGCTATGTGAAAATTACGTTATGTTGTGGAAGATTTTGCACAGACAATTGTTATATAAGAACAAGGCACTGAGTAAAATATGTCTTTCTCCGTTTATTTCGTGGCAAGGGAAAAAAGGTCACAACAGCTACGTGCTCAGTAGACTGCCAAGAACCATCCTCCTCTCACAACAGGACCAGGCAGTTATTATACCTAACAGGTGGCCTCCAAAACAACTTGTTGTGTCTACAGCCAGGAGACTGGGATCTTATCAGTGTGACACTCCAGCTCAATTGTTCTTAATAGGGCCAAAGTATATCACTGATATGCTTCCAGTACATAAGCCTTCAAGATCATTAAGATCTTCTGACACCAATCGGTTAGTGATTCCCAGAGTAAATACAAATCATGGGAAAGCATCATTTAGTTACTACGCAACAAACAGCTGGAATAAACTTCCTGAAGATGTAAGACTTGCCCCAACTCTGACCACGTTTAAAACAAGACTGAAAACTTTTATGTTCAGCTTCGCCTTCTGCTAAATTTTACCTACATTGCACTTTTAACCTCTGCTTTTAATTAAACAATTTAAATAACATTTTAATTTATAATTTTATTTGCTGTTTTTAATTGTCTTCTAATTCCTGCATTTTATTTCACTTTATTGTATGAAATGTTATAATGTGAAGCACTTTGAGTCTGCCTTGTGTATGAAAAGTGCTATACAAATAAAATTGCCTTGCCTTGCCTTAATGTAGGGTGACCAGACGTCCCCTTTTCCCCGGACATGTCCTCTTTTTGAGACCTAAAAAATGCGTCCGGCAGGGATTCCAAAAACGTCCGGGATTTTGCTTTGTCGGATATTTGTGTTTCTCTGGGTCTTTCACAAACTAGTTATTACGCCCTGACAAGTTTTGGAAATAGGGTGAGAAGCTCAGCCATTCGCGAGGAGCTCAGAGTAGAGCCGCTGCTCCTTTGCGCCGAAAGGAGCCAGTTTAGGTGGTTTGGGCAACTAGTGAGGATGCCCCCTTGGCGCTTCCCTAGGGAGGTGTTCCAGGCACGGCCAGCTGGGAAGAGGCCCCGGGGAAGACCCAGGACTAGGTGGAGAGATTATATCTCTGCACTGGCCTGGGAACGTCTTGGGATCCCCCAGTCAGAGCTGGTAGATGTGGGACGGGAAAGGGAAGTTTGGGGTCCCCTGTTGGAGCTGTTGCCCTCGCTACCCGACCCCGGATAAGCAGTTGAAAATGGATGGATGGATGGAAGTTTTGGAAATGGTATCTCCCTTACGTTCCACCTTCATGCGCGAGCTCTGACTGTAGAGAGAACAGTCATTGGTCGACCGATCTCAATGTTGCCAGATACACGATTATTATCCTCCAAATACGACCATTTTGAGCCTTTGATTAGATTAGATTCAACTTTATTGTCATTGCACAGAGTACAAGTACTGAGGCAACAAAATGCAGTTTAGCATCCAACCAGAAGTGCAAAAAAGCAAAAAGTGCAGAGTATGTGCATATGTAAAGTGTAATAAGTTTTGGTACGATACTTCACCATTTCAGCAGCACTGAGCACCTTGCCGCCTCCACTAGTTGCATTGTTTACAGCACATGACATCTGCAGCCATGCCGAAACGTAAATGTAAGTTTACTAAACTAACTAACTAAAAAAAAAAACATTTTTTCGCCTCGGCCGTGATGCTTCGGAAGCTGAGTGCATGATAGGCAGAGCAGGCACTTACGTGTCAGTGGCAAATAAACGTGGCAGCGATTTGGAAGCTCACGTGCACTCTGCAAAACACAAAATTGCAGCAAGAGGAGAGAGCTCTTCGAGTAAAGTGACAGACTTTTTTGTGAGTAAAACAGACACTTCTGTTACGGCTGCAAGACATATTAAAGAAGCGCTGGACTAAATGCCACAAAAATATTTGTTTTACATTTGTACTTTGCAGTTTTGTTAAAGTTCAATAAATAGATGTTCATATAGTCATTTTTGTCATTTCATTTGTCACATTTGTAGAGTGACGCTGAGTGCGAAAAGTGGTCGGTGGAAGGTTCCTTTGTCCGGATGGCAGGTTCCGGTGGTCAGTGGCAGGTTCCCTTTTCGGAGTGGCAGGTTGCATTGGTCGGTGGTCAGTTCTTCCGGTGGTCTTGTGGAAGGATCCTTTTTCAGTGGAGACATGGACCCGCCCCCTCCTCCTCATGCAAATGACATGTTAATGAGTATCTTCACGGCCACGCGTTCGCCGTAAATCATTGTTTCTAACTTTATTGAGAATCAGGCACAACACAGCGACCTGCAAGTAGCGCAGCGTCTTAAATAATACATTTTTGTCTTAATGCGATGCTTTAGAAATGAACACAAAGGGGTATTTGTTCATGAAGTCTGAAAAAGGTCATTTGGGCAACGTTTTGATAACCGACCGCAGCGAGCGGATCAGTGTAATCCCCCTTTTGACCTCATGAAAATGCAGGTTCTAAATTAGACTTATAACATCACATTTTACCTCATTGATGGGGTCTTCAGTCGCAGTGTCCCTTTCCTGCATGGAGGGAGCATTGTTGGAACAACTTTGTGTCACTCAGAAATAAGAACAGAATCTGTTTTATTTCCCGTATATGTACAAATTTAATTTTGCCTACATGTCAGGTCTCAAAACACACAGTTCATTCAATAAACAGGAATATATAAAGTAATTAAAATAAAATTTAATTTGAAATAATGATTTAACAACTATGCAATATAAAATATATATTCAAAATTATACATTTATTTGACCTTATATTTAACAAGTTGTCTCCCTAGTCAGTAAGATCTGCAGTAATCTTTCCTGCCTGTTTCCTCGCCCTTCAGATGTCCAGGATGGAGGGCAGTCTTGTGGCAATCATTCTCTCTGCTCTTTGTCTGTGGTCAATTTTAATATATTGTCCGTACATGAATGACACTAGAGGTTAGTTTAATGCAGTTGTTCGAATATGGCAAATAGTACCGTGTTAAAGTAGCGTCAGCTAACTTAGCGTTAGTTTTCAACCATTGAGCCCCTTATATCCCGATAACCGGACCGATAGAGCGGTTGTTGAACAATAGTACATAAATCATTATTAATGTTTCAGAGGACATTTAGAAAAATATAATTTAATCAAGCCAACATTCATGTAACCTTTAATTAATGATGGACGTTGTGGCTAAAATGTCTGTAGTTGTTTCGAGCGGACGCGCGCTCTCTGTTCTGCCTCATCTGTACAATCTCTCTCTTAGGGGATCTCCTCCCGCTCCATGCGGCCTATCAGAGGGATGCCTTTTAAGGCTACCTGCCCTGCACCATCCCCGCCACTGGCCGTTGTATCAGTAGGTGTACGCTCCAAACATTCCCCATGCAACTGGCGCTTTTTGAAAACCCGTCTGCCCTTTTCCGCTCTCTGTGTGCAGGTGGCTGAGAGATGGCTGCGGCAAAAGTGTAACCCTCAAACAGATCACTTGATGGTTGGCGATGGAGGCCAGTTGCACACCTACTACAGTGCACGCAGGGCCCCTGGCTGGAGACGGGTCTGCCTGGCCGGCCGAACTTCACTGACCTCCGTACCTCTGTCAAGCGACATGTAAGATTAGCGGTCTTATCCGTGTTTCTCCAACATCAAATGCGTGGTCCCTGCTAAAAACACGTTCTCTTCTCTAGGCAAGCGGACAGCAACATTCATGTTAGCACAGCGGACCGTTTCTGGTCTGTGATCTGAAGCAGTTACGAGGCCAGCTGGAAGCAGTTGTTGATGACCTGGTCCCAAGGGTGCCAGAGGTCTACAAAGCTGCAGACACTAAAGACATTTTGAACTGCCACAAGAAAGATGTTTGAGGTTGCTCATTATTGAAGGCCATTTTACATTTACTTGTAAGATTTTTCTGTCTGAACATTTTGTGAATATTCTGTTTAACTCCACTGAATATTTTGTTTAATGACAGTATAGAAGTTCGATATCTGCATGTTATAATGTAAAAACGATTTATTTTAATGTGAGAAATAAATAAGATTTTTGCAACAACTCAAGGTGTTTCTCATAACTATAAATTGTCATTTGAAACAATGCATACTTTTAAGTAAACTTAACTAGGAAAGTAATTTTAACTACAATAAGCAAGTTGAAATAATTAGTTGGACCTAGTTAACACAAAGCATGATAATAAGTTCTACGTTGTTAAACTTGTGTTGCTGTGAGGCGTCGGGACATCGACTCAGGTGCAGAGCAATAAGGCAACGTAAAACTTCTTTCCAGGTTTGGAACCTTTTACTTGCAGAAAAAAAGTAATGTGAAACAAAAGGTAGCACAGGCAGACTTCACACACTCTGGTAGAAATACAAAAAAAAGAAAAGGGCCTGGCAAAGAAGTAAAACAACAAGATAACAACAAACTAACACTTGGAATACCAGAATACAAAACATGCAACTCGGGGAGGGACAAAAGATAACCTGACACAGACAAGAGGGGGAACTGAGGCTTAAATACAGGTGGAGGTAATTGCAAACTAAACTCAGCTGTGGGGAGAAACGAAGGGCGAGGAACTAAATACAGGAAGTGCACTGATTACAGAAATAAAAACAGGAAGTTAATCTTCACAGTCTCTGCGAGTCATCACAGTTGCTAAGCTGAAAGTACTACTTTGGACAAGTGAACACAATGCATGATAATAAGTTAAGTTTCTTTTAAACATACTTTGCTAAGTTGAATAACCATGTAATATACAGTCATGTGAACTTACAGAGATCAAGCTAGAGCTGAGTTAAACACATGAGTTGTACCAAATTGTAAATCAAATTTGATTCTACTCAAAAGTGTAAGGCAGCTTTTGAACTTATGTTTGTAAGTTGAAACCCCTTGAGGTTTTTTACAGTGATGCAGATTTTTTTTCATTCATCCATGTACAAGGAAATACGCATTCAAATCAGTTCACTGTTTGACGCAATATAGTTTATAATGTAGGTAATGATATAGCTAAAAATATAGTTCAAAGTGGTTTATTGTCACACACACATTGCTCTTGGCTCTGATATTTATTTATTTTCCAGGTATTGTGTTGCTTGAGTTAACACAGACAGTTCAATGAAAGGCAGAGTAAACATGTTTGTATCTCCACCATTTGATGGCAGAATACAGTGTGTATTTAAACCATATATTTAATTATATTAAACTGTTTATTTTATTTATCTAGGTTATTACAGATGTATTTAATGCGGTTTATTGTATGTGATTTTTATGGTTCATTTGCAACCATTGTTGTATACATCTTGTTATATTTATTTCATAGAAGAGGGAACATGTGTTTATTAAGCAATAAGGAATGACATTTTATGAATAGAGACGTTTGTTTTCATTAATTCTGGTTTATTTGTCACACTTCCATCCAAAATCGAACGGTTAGGCCCAAGAGGTCAAAGGGCCCTGATGATAAGAAATAATGTTGGTCAAATGCTGCGGTATAAGGAAAATGACTTGTATGGCTTTATGGTATTCAGACATTTTGACTCTAGAATATTTTCCATTTTTCTCACTAGACAATAACAATAAAGAAATGAATTCATTCTCTTTTCTTCATTGCCTCCATGTTACCTTTCATGTGACCCTTAGAGTGATCTCTGGAGCTGTGGATGGATCCCACCGTCAGGCTGGAATTGGTTTGGGAACCATTGCAACAGACTAGCTGCTCTTTAGCATGTTGGACACACCAGCATGACACTGTTACATAAAATGTATTTCCCGCCAAATAACACTGGTCTACTGAAGCCTGTTTTGGGAGGAGGGTTTTAAAACTGTGACCGTGAACTGAGATAAACATGTCCCACAATATGTAGATGACATTTTAGTTCAGTAACACTGGAATGTAGAAGAAATGAATGTTTGGACAGGTGACAGAGAGACACCTCTTACTTGAAATACAATATTGGTATCCTCTTTAGTTGTATATTATATTAATTTCCTCTATCATCACCAAAGTCAAAGGTCACATTTATCCTGAGTACATTTTGATGTCCTTGATAAAGCAGCAACCAGGAATCACATGGTAACTCTGGAGGTGGACAGAATCTGTCCCAAGGACTACTAGTAACCGTGTCTTCTATTAAGGCCAGAAATCTGGCCTTAATAGCAAGAATAAAGCTGCTATTGAAAGAACCATTAGAAATCCTGTTTGGAGTTTTCCACACGCCATGTGAGAGGCCCAGAAAACACGTGGAAGAAGATGCTCTGGTCAGATGAGACCAAAACTGAACTTTTTGCCTCAATGCCAAACACTGTGTGTGGTGGACACCCAACACTGAGCATAACATGCCAATAGGGAAATATGCTGGTCATGGCATCAATTCACATTCAATAATTGACCTATTTACAAGTAGAATAAAGAGATACATATAGTATAACAAGTCCTGACAATGTCTTCTTGTAACACCAATCAGGCATTTGAATCACTCTTGAAAAATTGTGGCAATTTATTGACGGCACTGTACAATAACATCTGTAAAGCACATTCCATCTCTGCAGCTTCCTGATCCTGAGCACTTTGTTGCTGCCAAAGTGTGAAACTTGTGTTAGTGAGTCCACCTCTTCACTCTGCTGCTACTGATGCATCCGGCTTCGCTGGCCCAGTACCACTCTTCCTTAAAATAAGAATTGAATGTTCAACAATTATTTTCTCTTGGGAAAAAAATGTCTCTATGCAATCGAGAAGCTGCCCTAAAATCTGGCTTTGAGGGGGAACTAACACGGACACAATCAGTGATAACTTAAGGTTTATTTTTTTCAAAATAGCAACAAATCTGTCTGCAATAAAACTGTCATTTTCTTTGGAACACAGACCAACATTAGATCTTCTCATCCTTTGACCTCTTCGCTTTACACTCAGGATTAAAGTGTGGCAAATAATTATTATATATAAAGAAACCAAATGTCCAGCATTAAATACATCTGTAATAACCTTCATAAATAACTTAAACACAGTTAAACATAATTAAATCTATGGTTTAAATACATGTATTCGTACGTTTACTCTGCGTCTCCTTGAACTGTCTCGGCCTTCACTGACACAATGCGTGGATGATAAATATCTGATCCAAGAGAAACGCGTGTGCGTGATGTCAACTATTGGTGCTAACACATCCCGTGGACCAGGATTATTTCTTTATATCCATTAATTAACTTTTAACCGCTGGGATCGCATACGGTTTTCTAGCATACAAACGTCCCATTGCGTTGACTCTTACTTTGAAAATCTACGTACTTCCGGTTTAGCGGCTACGCTTCGTATTTTCGTTTTATGGGCAAAACCCCAAAAGGGATTAACGGAGTAAAAAGTTGTGAGTTTGTCTCGTTTTTTGGTTCTAAACGAAAAACGAGAAAACGACTGTCCACTTACGTTTTACCGTTTTGGATTTAAAACGAAAAACGAGAAACGAGTGTTTTCGTTTTATGTAAAATAGACTATCAAAAGGCACACGGATCCTTTTACCGTAGCGCCCAGAATAGAGGTGCATTTTATTTTGAAATGCGGTCCACACGACCGCAGTCCCATACGCCTACTTTAATGTCGGTGAAAGATGCAGAACTGTTGCAGCCCGTCATTGGTGGAGTGGCTGCCGACGTCACGGTGTTTGGAGAAGACTCCCGCAATGTCCGCGTGTGGAGGAGACGCTGGGAGTGAGTCCTCTCCTCGGAACACAGCAGAAAACTGCCTTCAGTGACTTTCGCTCACGGGCTTACAGGAGGACAGCGCTGTTATTTCGTCATTCGGAACTACTGGAGCAAATGAGGAATCCATGAGCCAAGACAGATCTTGGTTCTCATAGAAATAAGGTAAAGTTCACACAATTAAAGCCAGTGGATCTGTATGGTCGGACCGGTATGCTTTCGAGGGAATGTACATCCATCGTTATAATTAATTCCTTATCAAAGACCGGTAAGACTGACGTACCTTTCTACCATCGACAGAAACTCTGCAACAAACAGACGATGTTGTGTTCATTGTGTACACATGATATGTATATCTCCATTCTGCTCGGTCTTCTGTGTAAGTTTTTCCTATACACCGATATGAGGGTCAGAGAACAGAGGATGTTGTATGTTTATAGATTGTAAACATATTATTTGGGGGCTACACAAAATGAAATTGAACTGAAGTGAAATGGACAAGTGTAAAGTATACATATAATATAAATCTAAAATAAAGTAAAGATATTTGATGCAGTGAAATAACTATATGAACTATATATAAGTTACATAATTAAAACTGTATTTGGGTCAAAATGTAAGGAGCTAACGCTTACTTTAACACTGTTAAATCCCCTGAAAACATTACACAATATATATATATATACATATATAAATATATATATATATATGTATGTATATATGAATATATATACACCTATATATATTTATATTTACAATACCCTCTATTAAAGGTGTTTCATCGTAATACTACAGGAAAAGTCTATAAAATAAATGTGTTTCTCTGTAAAATTCTTTTTTATGGTTATGGTTCATTTGAATTAAGTTATTTTACCTTAATTTGACGTTTTTTGTTTGGCAGCCGCCGCTGCCAGTCATTTGACCGTTATTTTACCTGATTTGAATGTAATTTAAGAGAACAGTAAAATTCTCTAGAATAATTACAGTATATCTTCCGTAAAAAAAATTGAAAAAAATGTAATTTGTCATTATTAGCATAATACTTAAATTTACAGTTGGACTGTTAATTTACACATCTTTATTTTTACAGAGTTAATAAAAAAAACAGGAAAACTACTGTAAAAGTTATTTTCTGTAAAATCTTTTTTTACAGTGGACTCTTCATTCTTATTGCATTGCTTTGTCGACAGTTTGTCCCGTACGCCGCATCCAAAGTAGCCTGCCAAAGAGGCTGATGGATTTGTTGCTAAAAGTTGCTAATAGACGTTGTCAATTGTGTGATGACGACAATAACGTAAAACTGCGTCATTACATACAATACAAAATTACTTTACTCATGATTGACATTTGTACACTTAGATTTGTTTGCTCATTATCACATATTTGTATTTGTAGAAGTAATATAAACAATACATTTTACATGATCAGATATTTTTAACACAACATATTTTGAACTACACGTTACACATTATTGAAGAATTACATTTTTTTTATTAACTAGTAAACCTACACATTCTGAACAGTTATAGTTTTTATTTTTATTATTTTTTTTTTATTTTTTATTAACTAGTAAACCTACACATTCTGAACAGTTATAGTCTATTTATAGTCTATTGGTAGTTAGTTAACATGTTACCAAACATCAACAATTATAGTTAAAAGCTAATAATAAGGTATGTATGCTATTTTATTGAACAAGCAACGCAATTTAAATAATGATGTGTGCACTAAGCATCGTCTTTCCACCTGTCTCCAGGCTGTTGTGCAGTTGACTGCTGCCTGTGCACGAGCTGAGCGCCTGCTGTTGGAGTCAGTCACAATGCCCCTTTGCAGCCAGTCACATGTTGTTTTTGTGTGATTTTGAGAGAAATTGCGTGCATTTCAGTATTTGGGTCACTTTACAAAAGTTGCTAAGAGTGCCAAATATATTTTTTTAAATAGTTAAAGTTGCTAGGTGCTGTTTGAAAATAAAGTTTCCAGGGTAGTCTGAAAAGTTGCTGAATCTAGCGACAAAGCTGCTAAGTTGGCAACACTGCTCGTTCCACTGGTTGTTGTAGTACTCCGGTGATAAGATACTACTCGTTTCTCCATTTTCTCAGTTAATGTACGCAGCTGTGCCCCTCTCGATGCTGAAAAAAAAATGGCATTAACGCCACATGAAATTGTTGTCGCCGTTAATGGATTGCTACGTCAACGCATTTATAACACGCTTATAAGCCCTGAAAAGAACATAGCACTATCAGAGTGATACAGATATTTTTAATTCATGAGCAATTCACTATAATAAGCTGGGCGAGCCGTGTAGAAACAGCTGCTTGTGGCTCCCTCTCTCCTTGATGGTCCAGACATAAATGTCTGAGAAAATAATCTTCATTTAATGCACTTGAATGAAAAGCTCAAATGTTAGAGACTATAATTGGAGAAAGAGAGGCAACTCCTTTTTCAGCCCGAATGGTTGAATATATATCTTGTGGCACCCTGGGGCTGTTTTTGGCCTCTTCTCTGAAAATGGCATACCCATGATAAAAAGTGTAATAACTCTGTAACTACTTTGTCTATCCGGACAATTTCTACTCTGTTGGGATAAAGGGGAACCTCTGTGACTGATGAAAAAAAACTTGAGATTCGCCTGAAACAAAATTACTTACAACCCCATGAGTCCTATAAAACATGGAGATACCAGCCCAAAAGTACATCTACGAGATAGCCCAGTGTGTGGACAGTAGGAATGGAAAGTTTCATGTTGATAGAATATTTAACTACTCTAGAGGAGGCTTTTGTGCAGGCCTCACGGCTGATAAACGATAAGTCACAATCTGGATTTTTGTTCAAGCCCGGCTCTGATTGTTTACGCTTTTTCAACCACCTTTTCAACCACTTTTTAAACCACTTTTTCATTCGTCTTATCCTTTTGGATCCAACTAAGCCCTCGTGAAAATGAGCAAAGGCTTCCTTAGCCACTCAGAAGCCATAATGGGTAGAGCGTAAAATGACGCTCGAGAGTGCGGATTGGCTGAAAAAAAAGAACCCCAACCTCTAAAACCTGCGCGGAAAGCGCTAAAATTGCTTGAGGTGCACATACAATTGTATGGCGTTTTTTCCCCCCCAAATGCAGATGGCTAGTGCAAAGTTTGTTTGGTGATAGTCAGAATTGCCACAATTATGATAACATGTTTTCTTAAAAATATTTATTTGTTATGACCAGAACTTGAAATTGTATCTGGCATTCAAATTAGTGTGCTTTTCTTTTCCTAATTTGGAATTTCTGGTCTACATGTCATTGGGGTTTATTTGTAATCTTAACCATGGGATTTTGCATTCCAACATAAAACAGTGTTTCAGATTATGCCAATGGTTCCCTTGTGGTTTCATTGCAGTTCTAAATAAAAAATGCACTTTGACACCTGAGAGGGGGTCTTTGGATAAAAATGAAACCAATAGAGACCTTAATGGGTCCAGAACTGGCACTTAATGGGTCCAGAACTGGCTCCTTCAAAGACTTTGATTCTAGTTATTAAATGTTTACACATTTAAACATGCGCCTAATGCATGTCCTAGCACTTTCATCAGAAAAATGTCAATCACAAAAATAAGAAGGATGTGGATTCACAACAATGGACACTTTCATCAGATGTAATATAGCAAGGTAAAACACTTGTGCAACAAAATCAAACCAACAATATTAATTAATAATATTGATAATAATGCTGTATTTTCCCTGTTATGACAGGTCTGAGCGTCATTCAATGTTCTAAGGACACTAGTGCTGAGCTTGAACATGTTTGTTGCTCCTAGTTTGAGAGTTATTGAAGTCGATTCCGTATATTATCCGTTTGGGTTTACGTTGTGGACTGACCTTTGCTGCTCCTTTACTCAGCACAGAAATTAGCCGTTGCACGCAACTCACACAGGGGGCGGCACGGTGGTGGTTAGCACTGTCGCCTCACAGCAAGAAGGTCCTGTGTTCAATTCCGCCCAGTGGCCTTTCTGTGTGGAGTCTGCATGTTCTCCCTGTGTCTGCGTGGGTTCTCTCCGGGTACTCCGGCTTCCTCCCACAGTCCAAAAACATGCACTGGGGATCAGGTTAATTGGGGACTTTAAATTGCCCGTAGATGTGTGAACCGGCGATTGGCTGGCGACCATTCCCGATGTTCGATGAAGTGGGCGCGGGATAGACCCCACCCCCCCCCCCCCCCCCCCACCCCGGGAAACTGTTTGCAGGAGAAGCGGTTTGACGATGGAGGGATGCAACTCACAGAACGTTGCCAGAGTAAAAACGGTAATACACGCTTTACACACCTGCGATTTGTGAATTTTTCTGCCATTCTTCTGTGCATATCCTCTCGAGCTCTGTCAGGTTAGATGGGAACCGTTGGTGAATCTTCAGATCACAAAAAATAGATTAAAAACCTATAAGTAACCATGGACGGTCACCAGCATCACCAAGGTTGCCTGTTTTTTCCAAACATTTCCAAAAATCAGGGTCTTGATTTCTCACTGGCTCATGCATTCATTCTGAACAACACACGCCGCTACACCCTCGATTTACAACTTGGAACTGCCGCCCCCAACAGCAGACAGACAGCGCATGTTGGAAAAGCTGCTTGGCGTAGTAGCTTCGCTAGCAGTCATCCTTTGGTGGGGTTTCTGTAGTAGCTTCGCTAGCAGCGGTGCACTGACTGCCTGCTTCCTTTAGCATGGCCCGTTTATGCCGCTCTCCGATGTTTGAAATATCATTCAATGTTATGTTCTGCCTCCACCTTACTTACATTCTGCTCCTCCTGGGTCTTTGTTTGTCGTAACTCATGACATGCACTTTTCCATATGTAGCCAACAACGATTAAATCTACACTTCCCTGGCACAGTAGATGATTCCTGAGCTACTGTTTTTATGGCCACCGAACTTTTCAGTTAAGGTCCTGTAACAGATCCATGGGGATCTGGAATGATGCAAAATCTGGCAAGTTTGTTTGAATACTTTTTACGTGTGTCACACTCAGTGAGCTCCCGGCGTCCAGCTCGCTCGTCTGGCGGCTCCCTCCTCCCGCCGGATTGCTAGTGTTGACGAACTGACCGAAGAGCCGGTTAAATAACCCGATTCGTGTACCTGAACGGGGAGAATCGGGTGCCATACGTCAATGAACCGACTCACTCATTCGTGCCGG